TGAAAATAACTACCAAATGGAAAATCGTTTCGAAAATTCAAATTGAAAACGAATAAAAATCAAAATCTAGCTTCGTACGAAAGGGATCAAAAATTGAGGGTGCCAAGAGTGAGAGATGATTCTTATGTGTATTTACGGAGCGTCAAGGCGTTGTGAAAAATATTTCCTAAGAATTTCTAATTATTTTTCGAAAAGAGAAAACCACGACTCGCGACTTCATAATTATTTGCTATTACTGAATCTATTTTAATATTTCTCTATAACTATCAAGAGTTAGTCGCACCAAGAGTGCTGTATCTCTGCGGTATGAACTTTCCATAAAATTTATTAATTTAATCATATTTATCTAACACTAGGAAAATATAAATATTTTCAAATATTTCATCTACATTATAATTGCGTTAATACTTGAACATTGTTTTCCCATAATATTGTATTAATATGAAAAGTTCATTCACGCCAACGTGTATGGCAAATAATTTTACTAAACCTTCTACAAATTGTACCTACTTATCGATTAGGAAAATTGAATGGGCCAATCGCAATCCCCAGAAAAGAAAATGGAGAAGTTTAACAAAAATTTGTGTTGTTTCGGATCTAGAAATCAACCTTTAGGACTGTTTAGGACAAGTTTAAAGTATTTGCAAACACAAATCAATGGTGTTACAAATAGCATCAAATTTTGTTTTCAAAACTTTAAAACTTATTAAAACAAGTCTGTAGGAGGTAATTTCTAGATCTCACTGCACAGGGGTTTGAAATCGACCCGAAAATGATCCCGTCCCTCAAATGTAAAGACAAACGCGTGCAAATTGGAAATGCGTCAAATATAAAACGTTGGCAATGCAATCGAAAAAGTAAAGCCCGTATTTGTATCCCCAATTGTAGAGAATTGTTAACTCTATGATTACCTACAATGTTAAATTTTACTATGACCACAGCCACTTTTATTATTGTAACCAATAAAAGTAACAGCTCAATTTTACAAAGAGAATGGTACAGTCAGCGTCAATAGTTCGTGACACCCAAAGTGGCCGAAAAGTTGACAACACAACCTTATTCCAACTGTAACAAAGAAGTGTTGCGAACTTTTGGCTACTTTGGCTGTCACTTTGACGCTGATGGTAATAAAAATACGACCCTTACTGAAAAAAGCTCAATTTGTATCAATTTGAGAGCAAATTCAGTCACACAAGATCAAAACACCGATTCGAATAACCGAGTCATACACACGGGAGGGGTACGCCGAACTCATCCGCCTAACAAGGCACTATCTAGCCTCACTTTTAAATTTAGAAAGTATTTTAAACACGACACGAAAAAACCGCTTCAAAATCATGAAAAAACCATCAAAAAATTCGCGCAAGTCTTTTTACTACAGTCTATGATGCGTGGTCGATCGGGATACGGTGTGTCTACTCCGATGTATCCGGTAACACTCACGTTTTTCCAATTAAGTACATAATATACGAAAAGTGTTACATATAAATGGGTGTGCACGTGATGCACTCGAGGTAAAGAAGCGTAGTTTCCACATCGACACTTAAAAGCAAGGTTTAGATTTGCAATAAAACTTGTAGAAGTTGACTTCCGCAAGCTGTCACCACTGTGCACGTCAACTTCTGCAACTCTGTTGCTTGCGAAAGTCAACTTCTGTAAGATTCACACAGTGGTGACAGCTTGTGTAAGTCAACTTCTGCAAGATTTACACAGTGGTGACAGCTCGCGGAAGTCAACTTCTGCAAGATTCACACAGTGGTGACAGCTTGCGGAAGTCAACTTCTGCAAGATTCACACAGTGGTGACAGCTTGCGGAAGTCAACTTCTGTAAGATTCACACAGTGGTGACAGCTTGTGTAAGTCAACTTCTGCAAGATTTACACTGGTGCCAGCTTGCGGAAGTCCACTTCTGCAAGTTTTATTGCCAGTCCAAGCCTCGCTTTAGAACAATTACAATTAAATTATTGCTAATGTATTCAATCACGTGCAGAAACCGGCGAGTTCTTCGCAAAACTGTGTCGATGTAAAACTAACCACCGATTTCTGGAGAACATTGATCGATCTGGATGTCAGTTATTACAATGGATTAAGGTCCAATTTAGGATTAGATGAGCTGCAGATCAAACCATTATCTCCCCTAAAGGTATCCTAGATTAAAATATGGTGAAAATAATCCAATTTAGCGACTGAATTCAGAGTTCGATCAATGTCCAAAGAAACAGGAGGGGCCAAAAGAAACCTCACAACAATCTCAACGATTAAAACAACGTGTTTATATTAGCAAAGGCAAAAACTGTGAACATCGTATTTACAATATTTTTAATAATTGGTTAATATATTCCCTATAGATACTAAACTACCTTCTATTGCACTACCCCGGCGATAAATCCAAAACAAAAATGTAATTTTTAAATATATTTAACGCTAAAATATAGGAAAAAGATTAAAGGTCATAGCAGAATTATCAACCCGGAAAGGGATCAACACCGTATCGCCTTACGAGGCGAGGCGTTTACGTTTCGGTTCAGTTACAACAGAGTTTCATGCAAAGAATACTGCTGATCGCCTCGAATTGATACGGTTACGATCCGTTTCCGGGTCGATAAGTGTGCTTCGTCCTTAATACACAACTACAGCCGATCGGTAACGCTTAGAACACGTTTGTACTAAAATACAGTCCCTACCGCCTCCCTGAAAGAAATCGACATAGCCCGAGGGCCTAGGAACAAAACCACGTGAAAAGCTTAGTCATCCCGATATAATCGTCACAAATAAAACAATCCACAATATTCACGTCTCTTTCGCACACTGTGCAATATGAAAGAGACAACGATAGACGCTGATCTGTAATCTGAGTCGGTGTTATAAATGTGATACACTGTAGATTGTCTTATTTAAAAAAATAGAAACAAGCCCAATCAACGACAGCGTCAAATCGCAAGTGTGGACGGGACGACGTCCAAAACAATCGCAACACCGCAACAATATCCAAATACGACGGAAAAAACAACGGGGGGGAGAAACAGGAAATTCATTCTAGCTACACAGGTACAATTATGTTTGAAAAACCAGACATTGCATTTATGTCTTACAATAATATCTTACGATAAGTGAGCGTAGACCCGCGACAGCCTCGCGACTAATCGCAAAACGCGTCACTGTCCAGATAGTGCTTACCCACGAACGGACAACTAGCTAAGTTTTTTTTTTGAATACATATTTTTGCTTAAATCGAATTCTATTTGCGTCCGATCGCCTTCCCCGTACGCGGAGCCGAAACTACCAAAACCCTAGGTTTTTTTCTAACTTGCAACACTAAGACGTAAGGCAAAGGCGACCAAACCGTAACGCCTTGTACTTGAAATTCTATAATATTTTGCTTAACATTTAAACATTGGATAATGTTGCATATTAAATTGTTTTTATTAACGGTTGAGACGCAAATGCGTCTATATTCAATCAGATAATGTGTCATGTCCGAATGTTGCGATACAATTTAACATTTCAGCAACATTTCATAGTCTCCATTACAAGATAAAATTTGAAAACTACTAATAATTCGAGATAAACCTTTCATTTGATCTCTCGTAATGTTTCGAAAATACAAAATGTTGCCATCAAAATGTAACCAGATTATTACCAAAGCAGAAAAACCCAATCTAAGTGGAAATTATTTGCATGATTCTTCTTAGTTTAGGTTTTTTTTCACTCCGTAGCTATCCGACGTACGATTTCTTTATCTATTACTAGAGTTGAATTATTATTGAAATAAATCACCCATTCAACAGTGTTGCCAAGTCATTATAGGGATAAATATTTCTACTAATTTGGTAGTTTTTGTTAACGACTGGCAACATTGTTCTAGATTTAAAATTAGCTATGCGTTGATCAAGTGATCCAAAAGTTAAGGTACATTAAGTTACAAGAGGGTGATTTTTCAATGATAATTCAACTCACGACCTGTCTTTTGGGAGGGCAGCGATATTACCGGGTAGCGACGGGCAGCGTCGGGTAGTTGGGGGTAATAAAAAGGGGGTAGTCAACTCCCTCGACCAATCTTCTGACGTGAATCGATTTCACCATTCTTATAACTCTGGTTGTATTTGTGGTAACTACGTATAACTTTCTAACTACCGAAAACGTTTGAACTATATTACTTATACAACTTTTCAACTATCAACGCGTCTCGAACTCCCCTACTATCCACCCCCTTCACTTATCCATCTTCCCTCTTCATCTATCCACCTTTCCCCTTCAATCCATTTTCCCTACATCAACTACTGATCTTCCCCAAAGCAACTATTCATTTCCCCCATCAACTATCCACCTCCTCTTCCAACTACCCCTCCACAACTATCCACTCCTCCATCTATCCACTTCCTCCTCAACTATCTCACCCCGCACTATCCTCCCCCACAACTATCCATCCTCCTCGCACTATTATCTCCCCCCCCCACTATCCAACTTCCCCCACTACCCAACTCCCCCCAAAATAGTTGCTTAATTCACTTCCCCCCCTCCCCCAACATTCCACCCCCCCACTATCCACCCCCAACCACCCCCCCCAACTATCCACCCCCAACTATCCACCCCCAACTATCCACCCCCAACTATCCATGGGAATCGCCCTGTAAAGGGAACGAGTCGTGGGAATCGCCCTGTAAAGGGAACGAGTCGTGGGAATCGCCCTGTAAAGGGAACGAGAGATGGGAATCGTCCTGTGAAGAGAACGAGAGGTGGGAATCGGCCTGTAAAGGAAACTAGAGGTGGGAATCGTCCTGTCAAGGGAATGTGAGGTGGGAATAGTCCTGTCAAGGGAATGTGAGGTGGGAATAGTCCTGTAAAGGGAACTAGAGGTGGGAATAGTCCTGTAAAGGGAACTAGAGGTGGTTGTCGTCCTGTCAAGGGAATGTGAGGTGGGAATAGTCCTGTCAAGGGAATGTGAGATGGGAATAGTTCTGTAAAGGGAACGAAAGGTGGCTATAGTCCTGTAAAGGGAATCAGAGGTGGTAATCGTCCTGTAAAGGGAACGAGTCGTGGGAATGGCCCTGTAAAGGGAACTAGAGGTGGGAATCGTCCTGCAAAGGAAACTAGAGGTGGGAATCGTCCTGTAAAGGGAACTAGAGGTGGGAATCGTCCTGTAAAAGTAAATAATTCTCTCACCTGGAGGCAGGTGACGTTCGCGCAGAAGAACGGCGCGAACTTGGACCCGCAGCGCGCGCCCGCGCACTCGTCGCACATCTGGTCGTCCAGCACGTATGGCTTCACCTGCCATCAACATCATAATAATAAATAAATAAATAATAAATAAAAATCATTTATTGTTTCCCACAACCAAAATTTAAAAGTTACAATTAAAAATTAAAACTAGAGTAAATTAAATACAGGAAACAAAAGGCCATGAGGTTCAGCTCAAGCTGCCTCGAGAGCAAGTCCCGGGCTGCGCTGTTTTTCAACCTTGCCCAGCTCTCTGAAGGTGACAGTTGGAGCAATTTGAAATGGTGCTAGCTGACATAAAAACTATGCATCACTGTATAATGAAGTTCACCACGAATTTATTTATTTTATTTATTAGGACAACCAACAAGACGAACACGCATACATGGAATTACTATAACTAAAAGTGCTTAGAACTAAGTTGTCTTAATTAAAGGCTGCCACGGCATGCAATGTGGACAGTTGCAAATTTAAAAATTAAGTAATAATAAGACAATTTAAAAAGTTAAGTGAATTTCAAGAAGTTTATTCAATACTTAGTTTATTCAAATCCAATTAATTTACTACAAATATTTTTTTCATATTCAATAAGTTGTGAACGTCAGAATGGCGGGTGTATGATCATAGAAATTAACAAAATAAATACGATTAATTAATACCTGAAGTGTACCTTGGTGTACCTTTAGTTATTTATTTTGTACTTCTCTAAGATGGGAGCAATTACGATTGCAAAATGAGCCAGGTGTATGCTGAAATTGGACGAAACAGGTAAGTTATGGTTTTCTAATATTTATCATTATTTAGTACCTGAGATGTACCTCACAAATAATGAATATGAACCAAATGCGACGAATAATTAAGGAGAAAATCGATACGAAAAATTTGATGTCCACCTTTTTTTTGATGGCCACCATTTTTTATAAGAAGTTAGAAAGTTGATACCGACACAGATAATACATACCGTAGTATTTTTAAAGTCTGTTTTTATGGCACGCACACTTTTGCATTTGCCAACGCCATTAATTTGCTAAAATCAAAAAGTTAGTATTGATAGTAGCGCCCTCCTGTAAATGTCATAAATAAGGTTGTCCAACGTGGCAACAATCGGAACTAATAATCGAGACATCGTCTTCCTCTTCTTCAAATTTTATTCTTTTCTTTTTTTCCTCTCCTGTCCTTCTTCTGTTTCTCTGATTTGTAAAATAAGAAGAAATAAGACGAAAAAATAAAAAGATGAGAAAAGAATAAAAAGATATAAGGCAAAAAAATAAAAAGATAATAATAAGAAGAAGAACGTGAGAAGATGAAGAGTCGAAGAAGAAGAGGAAGAAACAGAAGAAGATGAGAAGAAGAATAGAAGATGAAGAAGAAGAGATGAAAAGAAGAAAAAAATAATATTAGAAGAAGAAGACTATGTCCCGATTACTAGTTCCGATTGTTGGCACGTTGGACAACCTTATTTTTGACATTTACAGGAGGGCGCTACTATCAATACTAACTTTTTGATTTTAGCAAATTAATGGCATTGGCAAATGCAAAAGTGTGCGTGCCATAAAAAACAGACTTAAAAAATACTACGGTATGTATTATCTGTGTCAGTATCAACTTTCTAACTTGTTATAAGAAATGGTGGCCATCAAAAAAATGGTGGACATCTAATTTTTCGTATCGATTTTCTCGGTAATTATTCGTCGCATTTGGTTTATTATTTTTACATAATTTTTTTAATTATAATTACATATTATTGTGAGGTACATCTGAGGTACTAAATAATGATAAATATAAGAAAACCATAACTTACCTGTTTCGTCCAATTTCAGCATACACCCGCCAACCTGATATCAGGTTGGCGGCTCATTTTGTAATTGTAATTGTTCCCGTTTTAGGGAGGTACAAAATTAATAACTAAAGGTACACCAAGGTACATCTCAGGTATTAAAAATTTATATTTATATTATTCAATTCTGTGACCATACACCCGCCATTCTGACGTTCACAATAAGTTCATTCAAATTCAATAAGTTCGTTCAAATATAAACTACTACCTACTATTCAAATGTAATTAGTTTATTCATTTATGGATAGTCTGTTCAAATTCAAATAGTTTATTAAAATTGGAATGGTTTGTTCAAATAGAATAAGTAGTTTAAATACGAATAGTTTATTCATATTCGGATAGTTTATTCAAGTTCGAATACTTTCTATGAATAGTTTGTTCAAATACGAATAGTTTGTTTCATTAATGAATAAATTATTCTAATTTGAATAAACTGAGTCGGAATAAGTTACGTAAATAATTTTGTCGAAGAATGAAAATAACAAACAATAAAACAAAAATTTCCAATCAAAAGTCCCACAAGTCGACTGGTGAAACTTACCTCAACACGCTTGTCGATGTCGCCGTGTTGCAACTGGACGAAGCGCGCAGAAATGGCCGCGATGTAAGACTGCTGGTTCGAGAACGCCACGCGACCCGCGCCCTGTGAAACAAATCATACATTATTAGAAGGTTGTAAAAACTCACAAAGGCTTTTAAAAAGCACTTTTACACGTCCCAGTATTAACCCTACCACTGCTTCGAGACAATAAATGAGCCAGTGCTGAGAAGAAGCAGCGCAAGAAACTCGGTCACTATTGTTAGCCTCTTCACCAGTCGGCGCTACTGTAGTGTAAGGTCTTGTCTCTTGCTAGTGGCTAAGACAGTGGCGCCAAGTGGTGAGTCCTGAAGCGGTAGGATTATCGCATTTGCATTCACGAGGATGGTGCGACTGTAGTCAGGTCTTGTCCCTCAACAAAGGTGCCAGGAGAATGACAGGGGAGGGCAACTTCTACCCTGGAAATGGTATGCCCTACACCCTACTTAATATAAAGTCCTTCAGTGTTAAAATGATGGGGATCCTGCCAAATATCCTGGACCCCCCGGTTTAGAAGGTTCACCCCTACCCGAACTTATGAAAGAACCATTATACTTCCAAAATGGACAGTGCAGTTTTGATTTGTTACAGAAATAAAGATTATGAGAAAAACGTATTCTTAAAGACTGATAGCTTTAACCATAGGACGTCCATCCAAAAGGTGGAGCGACGACCTGATAAAGGTAGCAGGAAGGCGCTGGATGCAGGCCGCTACCAACCGTGCGATGTGGAAGTCATTGGGGGAGGCCTATGTTCAGCAGTGGACGTCCTGTGGCTGAAATGATGATGATGGTAGCTTAAAGACAGTTAGCTCACCTTAGGATACTTGAGCTCGGGGTCGGTGTCGATGCCAGCATAGCACACGCCGCCGTACAGCCGGTCCATTATCATCGCCAGCTCCACTGGAAAACGAGAAATGGTGGTTGAGTTTTCAGTTGTATTGTATTAGGGAAGTTAGCAAAGAAACGGAAATAAATACTTGTTTGGCACACAAAATATCAAAACCATAACAAGAAAAAAGAAAATCTTAAATCTATTTTCTCCTGTTTCTTCGAACAGTTCTTTTGGTTCTTTTCAATTTTTCTAAAAAAGACGAAGGCAACCAGAAGTTTGAGCGCCATCGCGATAGTCTTCCGATGAATATTTATCTACTGGATTCCATCTCCCCCATCAATCATGCAGAAGGTTGCAGAAAGCACCTGGATGCGTCATTGTAAAGATTCTTCGGAGCGGCTTTGGTCAGCCGTCTCTAAATTGAGAAGAATAAAGCTCTTGATAAGAGACTCTCACGAGGCTTGGGCGACAGTCTTCAGACGGAACTTCTTGCGCCTTCTACGCCAAGAAACTCCACCTCGAGCAGTCTGGATTTAGGCTAGGTTGTTGCTAAGGGACACTTGGTAGCCATGAGCGTACTGTCTCTTGGCTGTTGCTAAGAAACACTCGTCAGCCTTAAGCTAGAGACTCACGAGGCTTGATCGTCAATCTTCCGACTATGTTGCTAAGGGACACTCCTGGTGCGTTGAGCGGTCTGGCTTCTAGGCTGTTGCTAAGGGACACTCCAGTTGTCTCGAATATTCCGTCACCCACGCAGTCTCCTGTTAAGAGACTCACCAGCCTTGAGCGGGGGTGTCACGCCGCCTAAAAAGCCAGGCAGTCTTCCGACGGAGATTCTTGCATCTTCTAGACTCTCCACGACCTTGGGAGGAGTCTTAAGACCTGGACTCTCACTAAGGGCCACTTACCAGCTTTCAGCGGGCGCGGCACGCCACCCACGAAGACAGTCTTGCGCGGATCGAGCGGCATGCTGGCGTCCAGCACGAAGTCCGCGTCCGCCAGCTTCCACGGCCGGATCTGCACCGGCTTGTCGCGGATGGTGGGCGACGACACGCACAGATAGAGCTTGTCTTCGTCGGTTATGCAGGCTTCCATCAGCGCCGCTACGGAGCTCTCGTCCTGGAATTGATATTGATTGGATTTATAAGGGGTATGTTCCGATATAGCGCTGCGATCACTACTATAGTCTGGTCGCCGAGCACGTAGAATTTCGTCCAATGACCCCAAGCTACCCATCCTTATCGCTCGCGCATAATTATATTGCTGTCGCGACTGTGCGACGGGAGCCCGCAGTGAGTGTGCGAGCGCAACAGCAACATAATTACGCGCGAGCGATAAGGATGGTTAGCTTGGGGTCATTGGACAAAATTCTACGTGCTCGGAGACCGGGCTTTAGATAAGTACTGAGGAATGCTTGCAGTGCTATGTCAGAACCTATGTTCTCTGGCTCTAATGGGTCAATTAGAGTATTCTACTCGACACATTATTTTTCTTTTAAAGCACAACGAGGAAGTTCATGGCCTGCATTTCTCCTGATGAAAAGTGACAATCAGTTCAAAAGTGGTAGTCACCCGGAATATTCTCAACTTCAGAACTAGCTATCTTTAACGTTATGGCGACAGACTTGGAACAAGCCCTATCACCAACCAAACCGAGCAGAAAATTTTGCTATGGAATTGAATCCGGGACCTCTGGGTTTGAAGCAGGTTGTCTTAGGCCCTTTCCGCCAAGGCGAAGCAGAGCGGAGCGTGTATATAGTGTTTTGAATAACCATTCAGATTTCATTATTTCCACTTTTCATTAAAAACTCATTAAATAACGTAGCGGAGTTTTTAAAGTTTTAAAAACGATAGTATTTACCTGAAAGAGTAGAAACGCGTAGCCCTTCGGCGGGAAGTAGCTCTTGCTCTCCGCTTTGTGGGGCCAGTCCACCACCAGCGGACCGAAGCGCCGGAATGACGACGTTATCTCGTCTGGAACAAGGTACAAAATCATGGTCCAGTGGTCAAATGATGCGATGGTCAATCTAAAGGGTTCGTTCGTTTCAGCCAAATGCCGTCCATTGGACAAAGGCCTCCCCCAAGGATTTCCATGACGACCGGTCATACGTTTCCCGCATCCAGGTTCCCGCGACCTTCACTAGATGGTCATGAGTCAGTATAGTAATAGACTTGGGACGCAGGTCGGCCGTAGTAAGGACAATCTGTTCAGGTGGGGATTCTTGGATGGCTCAAACTTGGAGTGCAAGTGTGGTTTTGTTCCCCAGTCGACGAAGCACATGATATCGTGCCCTGCGTGCCCAAACAACTGCACGCAGATACTGACAACGCCATACCATTATTGTGCCGGAGTTTTGGGCCGACGCTGTGTAGGTTTGATGTCGACACGACAAGAAGAAGAAGTAATGGTATATGGATCTGAGACGTGGTCGCTTACTATGAGTATGGGCCTCATAAGAAGGCTCCAGATCACCCAAGGGGCGATGGCGCGGGCTATGCTCGGAGTTTCCCTGCGATCGAATTAAAATGAGGAGACCCGTAGGAAAACCAAAGTGACCGATATAGTCCGCAGAATTGCTAAAGGGTGTGACCATAATAATATTTCCATAAATACAATCTGTTAGGGAACCGACCCGAGTTTAGGGGCGTTTTTTACATTTAATTTGATCGAAAAACAAACTAATTATATGGGGTGAAATCTCGAAAAGGTTTAGCGAAACCCTTAGAAAAGGTTTTAGTGTTAGGAAAGTAGTCAGTTTTGAACAGTCATTATCTATGTTTGTCTATGGCATCGTAGCGCCTAAACGAATAGTCAGATTTTGATGCGTTATTTGTTTCAAAGATGATCTGTTAAGATCTGTTCAGCCATTTGAAGATCTTTTTAGTTGAAGAAACGAGAGCAATATTTAGTTTTAGGCAGTGCTTAGACAAAGTAGATATAAGTACTTTGTAGTTTAGACAGAAAGTAGGAAAGAATTGTGTTTTCGCATTTATTTTCCGTGTCAGTTTATCGATTTTAACAATACTACCTAAATAATCAATTAATTAAAAAAACCTTGAATGCTCAAGGAAATTGATCGGCATAGAAGCATCAAATAATAGTTAACCTTCTTTTGAAAATAGGTAAATTACTAAATTAGCGATGCCAATAATTAGTTTGAAAGCCTTGCAGTTGCTAGGCAACGGGGAACAAACAGACAATGCATTGGTTTTATAATAATATGGGAATGCAGTAGGCTTACACAATAATTTTATCTTTGAGAGTAATAGAGAAGTACAACGGGACTATTTAACAACTCTAGTTCCCACCTGCAACTCCTGTGTAGCTAGGATCTACAGCTTGACCGCCAATAACACAACCAGTGAAGGCCAAATTGGATTCGCAACAAAATTAATCAGAAGTAAATATCAAATGATATTTACTACCCTATTATTGGAAGAAAATCAATTGACAGTGCAGTTAACTATCCCCCGGTACAAACTTGATCTTCATACGGTTGGGTTTTTATTGGCGGTCAAGCTGTAGATCCTGACTACACAGGAGTTGCAGCGGTGGGAAAGAGAGGTGAGAATAGTCCCGCAAATGGAAGAAAATCGATATCATTATACTTAGAAAACCTCCTAATTCGTTTCGCGTAAAGACAGGAATCCCTGGGACTGCTCAACCTTCACTGGTTGGGTTATTGGCAGTCAAACTGTAGATCCTGGCTACACAGGAGTTGCAGTGGGAACGAGAGGTAGGAAATAATTCAAAGTTTTAGGAATCAAGATAGTAATTCCCCGGGACTACGCAACATTCCTTGGTTTGGGTTATAGGCATCAAGCTGTAGATTCTGGCTACACAGGACTTGCAGTGGGAACGAGAGGTAGGAAATAATTTCTAAGTTTCTGATACCAAGACAGTAGTCCCCCGGAACTACTCAGTCTGGTTGGGTTATTGACGGTCAAGCTGTAGATCCTGGCTACACAGGAGTTGCAGTGGGAACGAGAGGTAGGAAATATTTCAAAGTTTCAGGAACCAAGACAGTAGTCCCCCGGAACTACTCAGTCTGGTTGGGTTATTGGCGGTCAAGCTGTAGATCCTGGCTACACAGGAGTTGCAGTGGGAACGAGAGGTAGGAAATAATTCAAAGTTTTAGGAATCAAGATAGTAATTCCCCGGGACTACGCAACATTCCTTGGTTTGGGTTATAGGCGGTCAAGCTGTAGATCCTGGCTACACAGGACTTGCAGTGGGAACGAGAGGTAGGAAATAATTCAAAGTTTTAGGAACCAAGACAGTAATCCCCCGGGGACTATCCAACCTTCATTGGTTGCGTTATTGGCGGTCAAGCTGTAGATCCTGGCTACACAGGAGTTGCAGTGGGAACGAGAGGTAGGAAATAATTTCTAAGTTTCAGGTACGAAGACAGTAGTCCCCCGGAACTACTCAATCTGGTTGGGTTATTGACGGTCAAACTGTAGATCCTGGCTACACAGGAGTTGCAGTGGGAACGATAAAGAATAGTCCCGCTACTGTTATAGATTGTACTACATTGCTGAACGTAATTGACCTGTATTAATATTAAATGTGACCTTCCATGCATACGCTTATTCCCATGACGCGTGACGCAGTTAAAGTAGGTTTCATATTAATTATGTAGTACTTTTTTGAAGGAACATTAATATCTAGCGGCCGCGTGCGACTTCGTACGCGTGGATCCCGTTTTACCCCCTTAGGGGTGGAGTTTCGTAAAATCCATTCTTAGTGAGCACCTACGTTCGAAAAGGAACCACCATGCAAAATTTGAGACTCCTAGCACTTGTAATTTGAGACTCCTAGCACTTGTAATTTGAGATTTCGTGATGATTGAGTGAGTGAGTCAGTCAGTGACCTTTCGCTTGACTGATGGTAAGTGATGATCAGGCCGAAGGTGGAAGTTCCGATTTTTGCCACGTTCGACAACCATATGACCAGTGGTACCAATATCAATACTGGGTTCAGTTTTTGATTTTGGCCACTTGACGCTTCAGAATCGTTGGACTATACTCAGCATAGTCAGTCCGACAAAAAATCACGCATGTATTCAGAAACATTACTATGAGGTCTCACAGTGCGCGTGGACGCACAGGGTGACACACGAACCAATCGCAGAGCTCTATTCAACGCTGTACATTCAATTTGCTGCTTCACTTAAGCAAGCATCGTTTATGAATGCGGGCGTCATTTTCTGTGATAGCGTACTACCTAATAACTGAATACCAGCCCCTTACTATTAAACTCGCTTTTCTTCATTACAGACCAATCATCTGACCTACATCTACCCAGTTCCCGGCGGAAAGCTCTGACGCGCTGACAGTGACGTCACTATCCGGGACTTATTTTAAAACAATGCTGCCTCCGCCCCAGGGTAGATAAAATCAGACATTGTAGGAGCCTCGGGAGTGTAACTAGGCCACCAGAGGCTGGAGAGAGCAGCCAGCCCGTTTGAGATAAGATGGAGACGTTTATGAAGCTGTCATTATACTTTATCCGAGATATTGTTTAGGACATTCATTGAAAATGTTACCCTTGTTAGTTTAATCATAGATCCAAGTAGGTAACATGTAGATTTGTGTTATTTGATCGATCTGTGGGCCTAACTGTTTATCCGGTTCAAAACAATAACTACAAGAATAAACGATTTTAATCAGCTAATATGAATATAGGCTAATGATACATATTATACAATGTAACCATTGATAAATGTGTCATACCAGAAATTTTAACGAAATTTCAAGAAAAAATTGCCACTTATTTATGAAAGAATAAAAGTTAAAGGTATCCTTAAAAGGACATTTTAATGTCTTATATTTGGGGACAAATTAAACAAAAATATAGCATGGATTTCAGGCTCTGATTGATTGAATTTCAATATTTAAAATCAACTGTAGCATTCAAACTCATAAAACTTATTTTATTTTTGCAAGGTGGCTTTTAGAAAGCACATACACGCCCCAGTATTAACCCTACCACTGCTTCGGGACAATAAATGGGCCAGTGCTGAAAAGAAGCAGCGCAAGAAACTGACTATTGTTTTAAATCTGTATCGAGTGTAAAATCTACATCATACAGGCCTAAAAACTGTTCTGCTAAATTTTTTATTGTCAGAACAAACTACCCTAGGGAAATAATGTGCCTTCCAAGACACTTTATTGCAGAACAACGCATGCAGTTCCCCAAGGAGGACAGATCACGTCACGTCTGTGGCAACCAGATCACGGCATCACGTCTGTGACAAATTAAATTTGCTAAGGTTCCCGAGAGCTCTCCCCAGACTGTTTTATGGGACTTTTTTGACCTAGAGTTGCTTACGATTTTTTCCCAAAATTTTAATTCGCATATTATTCGCTGACAGCAAACTTTATGGTCCTCAAAATGCACTAGACACATTGTCGTTGTCGATAGTCTATATCAAAAAATTATTGCTCTAAGCCAAAAAATGGTGTAGTCAAAAAACTGACTACATACGGCTGAATCCAATTACTGTCCTTAAACCAAAATCAAAATGTGAAAAGGTAATGCCTATTATACATATACTTAAGTCATTGGAAAAAACCTTGGTCAAGATCGTTCGCCATAACAAAAACAGAATTAAAATTTTCAGGAAACACAGCCTTACTGTTCTCTTCATGCTATGTCTACATCGAGCCTTTGACCTAAATATGTAATCTTCAGGATCACTGAGATAAATTGTGTGGCTGGCAGACTGACAGGCGCGATAAGTAAATATTAATTTGTACGATGGAAACGGGACTATTCCCACCACTTGTTCCCACCGCTGCAACTACTGTATAGCCAGCTTGACCGCCAAACTTAACCAGTGAAGGCCAATTTTGTTCCGGGAGAAAATTAAACTGTCATTGGAGCCGCAACGAAATTAATCAGCAGAACATAGGAGTTCGAAGTTAAGGGGTAAGGTAAGGGAGTTAGGAAGCGACTCTACTGAAGACAAATTGTATTTTTTTTTATTTCTGAAATCGCTTCACTTAGACGTTTTTTTATTTAGCTACCTATATAAGCTACTTTGCTCTATGAAGCGATTTCCAATCTCATCCTAGCTCGCATCAATTCTATGTATATTTTAAGAACTGTAAACCTTTAAAAAAGAGGATGACAATAAGAGACTGATGCCCGTTTTTACCATCAATCCCTAATTTTTAAGTGGTATTAGTGGTGGTGGTAACACCTAAACAGGAATTTTGTTAACTTAAAAATTAGGGATTGATGGTGAAAACGGACATGAGTTTCTTGCGCTGCTTCTTCTCAGCACTGGCCCATTTATTGTCCCGAGGCAGTGGTAGGGTTAACACTGGGACATGTAAAAGTGCTTTTTAGAGCCTACTTGCAAAAAGAAAATGAGTTTTTCGACTTTCACGAATTCTCACATCATCATGGTATTCTCTATCTTTGATGAAAATGTATTCTAAACCTGTACCTAAACTCTACTTTGTTTAGGGGCAGCATGTCAATAAGGGTTACGTAGTAGGTTTTCAAGGCACAAAATACGGGTGAAACAAGGATCTACGTGTGGTAGCAGATTGTAAGCGAACATACAACGCCGGGCCCGGACGGCCCCTTATTGACCTAGATAGAGCGTGGACAGCTCTACGCAGTGTCCAGGTCGCAATAGTGTTTGGTTGCGTATCCATTTAACAATGTAGGGCAGGGGTGGCCAACTTGATTAGACATAAGATCCAACTGTTTACTAACGAAACCTTGGGCGATATACCACTTACATACTTCTTGAAATCTTAAATGAAACAGCATAGTTTAGTACACAATCATGTAGTATTTTTTGCCTTGCCACGATCGACTGGACTAATAGTCGCGATCGACCGGTTGGCCACCCCTGATGTAGGGCACTTAGACATGTTCTACAAGATGTGACTCGCTTTAGGTAAGTGATGATCTGATGACAAGGTTCGAACGAGCACGCTTTTGTATTTTTTAACTATTCGTACTAAGCCTATTTTGTGTTGATCGTTTCATCCACGAAGTCTGCGGTGTTTCCGGACGGATACGACCTGCAAGCTTTCAAGAGGAGAGCGTATCTTCACCTTAAAGGTCGGCAACGCACCTGTAACGCCCCTGGGGGTCTGCGGGTGTCTATGGGCGACAGGTGATCCGTCTGCTCGTTTGCCTCCTGTCACATAAAAAAAAAAGACGCGCCCCACCAATTTTTTTGTCGATTTCGCGCGGGGTGCGGGGTTTCAACCGAGCAATCCGAGCGACATTATTGTAGTGTGCGTGTGCTTCATGGGTGATTTAGCGTGTACCGATAACACTCGAACATTAGCGGAAGAATGGTGGGGCGCGTCTTCGTGGATGAAACGATCTATACGAGTGGGTTCACCGCAACAGTCCAGCTCGGCGGGGTTTGAAGCAGTGTTCCTCGGAACTCAAGTCGCCCAGACACCGTTCTACATTCGTTTACGCTGGATTGCTATAATCAATCCAAATCCGTCCGAAAACTGTCCAATTTCAATCTGTTTTCGATCAAGTATCCATAATTTTCGAAGTTTAATAAAACGCTTGAATATTGTCAAAAACTACGAAAACCACGAAAAGAAACAGTTGTTGACGGATAGATATGGATTAGATAGATAGATAGATATCGATTGGGATTGATTATAGCAATCCGGCGTTAAGATCCAGTCAGCTGTCGTCGGGAATCGAACTGTGGACCTTCGAATCGGCCATTGGGTTATTGTAACCTCCACTTCGTTCGTTCCAGCCAAATGACGTCCACTGTTAGCACAAAAGGCGTCCCCCAAGGTTTCCCAAAATGCCTGCATCCAGGCTCTTCCCGAGACCTTTACCAGATCGTCAGTCCACCTAGTAGGAGGCCTGCCCACGCTACGTCTTGCAGCCCGTGGTCGCCACTTGAACACTTTCCTGCCCCACACCGCCATCGTCTCTACAAGCTATGTGCCTCGCCCACTGCCACTTGATTTTAGAAATTCTGCGAGCAATGTCGGTTACTTTGGTTCTCCTGCGGATCTCCTCATTTCTGATTCGATCACAAACCCAGCCTTAGCCTATGGTTAAACCTACCTTCATCAATATCTGGCGGCAGCCCGCCGACAAACACTTTCCGGCTGAACCGTTCGCCGTGCTCCGAACCGGCGGAGACCGGCGACGACCGCGCCGGCGAGCCGAGTGCACTCACGCACATCGAAAGACCTGCAATGAAGCAATCATCAGGTCATTTAAAGTCAGAGGTGGAATTGTGTAAAGCAATCGTAATCATTTGACAGTTCATAACGTACGATAAAGTCAGTTAAAGCGTTTGACAGAATAATCGTACGTTATGAACTGTCAAATGATTACGATTGCTTTACACAATTCTACCTCTGGTCTGGTCCTTATCCCTCGGGCGTAATTATATTGCTGTCGCGACTGTGCGACGGACGGCAGCAGTGAGTGTGCGAGCGCAGCAGCAATTTAAATACGCGCGAGCGCTAAGGATGGGTAGCTTGAGGTCATTGGACGAAATTCTACGTGCTCGGCGACCGAACTATAGTATGTACTATAGGGCCCTCTAATTACTAGATGCAAAAGAGGGAATTGCGGCATAAAACGTTAACAGAGCAGGAGCACCACGACCCTACCTATTTAAAGGGAGGATTTTGATCATTACAGAGGGTCGTGCTTCGCCAGCCAAAAACAGTTGGTACATTTGCATAGTAAGCATCATGATGATGATGTATAGGATACAGGAGGTCGTTGTCTAAGGCCCGTTTCCCACCAAGGCAGAGATGAGGCGCGAGGAAACGATAGTGCTGTTAGTAGCAGAATGAAACGGGGCGGAACGGGAACACAAACCGATGAATAGACTCTCCTCTCCGCACAAATGATAAGACTCTCCGCACATCTCCGCCTGGCCATGCCAGGATTCCATACCATATGCGATTGGTATCATAGCTCTAAAGACTAAACTATCTATATTATACGCGCATGGACGTCTATCTACGTCCCTTCTAAGACCCTAGAGCAGGGTTTTCCAAACTATGGGTCGCGACCCACATTGAGTGGGCCCTGCCTGTAGAACGACACACCTTACCGATCTAACCGCTGGGCAGCGGGCGAGATTTCCTATAGGTGGGTCCCGAGTTTGGGAACTTGTATTAGATGAGTCGTAGCCTAGACAACTTTGGAAACCACTGCCCTAGAGCTTCAATATCTCAACTCACCGGCAGCGCTGAGCCTCGAGACGACATCCTGAGCCTGGTCGGGCCCCGCCGGCGAGCCGGCGCCGGCGGCGCCGCCCGCCACCGCCGCCTCCTCCACGCCGGGAAAGAACGGCGACTTGCCTGCAACAATGGGAGAATCGGCGTTAAAACTCGTCTTTGGTAACCAGTTTAAAGTCGTAAAAACAGTTCTAAATCCGTATTCACGTGTCATTTCGATAGAACGATTACTCGATAGGATCGAAACTCAGCGATTTGTCATTTGACGTTTAATCACTTGAACCAAACTTCAAAATAGGTGAATACCGCGGAGGCAACGATTAAATATGCTTAAGAGTAGTTAAGAGTAGGCGCACACCGTTGATTTTTCGTCGGCCGATAGTTTAGTTGGGCAGTTGATCAGTATGGGCATGTATGGGAGTGCGCACACTACGCCGATTTGATTTGGCAGATTCTTCATACAATTTAAAATCGGGCACAACTATCGGCCAACTAAGAATCAACGGTGTGCGCCTACTCTAAAAACGAAATCGGCGATTAACACGTGAATACGAAAAGTGACTCCAGCGATGTAATCGCTTGCATGTTGTTGAAGTTTTGCTACGTGAATAAGGCTACAGGACTATTCCAAATCTTGTTCCCACCACTGCTACTCCTGGGTAGCCAGGATTTACAGCTTGACCGCCAATAACCCAACCAAGTTTATCCCAGGATCCGCAGTGAAATTAACGCCCTTATTCACAAACGATGCTTGCTTAAGTGAAGCAGCAAACCGAATGCACAGCGTTGAATAGAGCTCTGTGATTAGTTCGTGTGTCACCATGAGCGTCCGCGCACTGTGAGACCTCATAGTAATGTTTGTCACTACGGGCGTAATTGTCCTTGGTAACCTTTAGAACTTCAAACTCCTATGTTCTTCAGATTAATCCCGTTGCGGGTCCAATGACAGTTTATATTTCTCCCGGGACAAACTTGGCCTTCACAAACAAGGTTACAAATGAGACAATACGAAAACATCTCAATCAAACTACTATTTTTAAAACATGACTGTAACCAAAACAAAATGCTTTCCTAAGCTGTATTTTAGTGCAGAGCAATTCGTCCAACATTTGTCAAATCAAATCTAATATTTATTCAGTACCTTACCCTTTCCAGGACACTTGATCACGTCCCAAACATAGCTGGCCCTACCACCACTTCGGGACAACATATGGGCAGGTGCTGAGAAAAAGTGGCGGAAGAAACTCAGTCAGTCAACCGTCAGTTTGGACGGCAAATTATAGATAAACCAATCATTTTTAATAATCTGGCAGCAATTTGTACGTTATTCTATTGTATTAAGTCATTGAAATGCGCATGAGTAACCTGAAAGGTAGACTGTGCGTCTAGCAAATATTTGCGAGCTGGCCGACCGCCAAATACCTAGAGTACTGTGTCCAAATGTCATTCACTTCTTACGCAATGTTTGCTACGATTGTCTAAACTATAGTTTGAGGATTGATTCATCCATTCAGAGCTTGAGGAATGCAGAATAAAAACTCAAAACTCTTATTTCTGCAAATAGGCTTTAAAAGCACTTTTACACGTCCCAGTATTAACCCTACCACTGCTTCAGGACAATAAATGGGCCAGTGCTGAGAAGAAGCAGTGCAAGAAACAGTCACTACTTATTGTTGAATTCTTCGAGTCATCATCATCGTTTCAGCCACAGGACGTCCACTGATTGGATCGGTTGGTAGCGGCCTGCATCCAGCGCCTTCCTGCTACCTTTATAAGGTTGTTGGTCCACCTTGTGGATTTATCTTGTAGACAAAACGAGAGATGTCATGTTCCTTTTCGCGTAAAAACTACAAAATGAATTTTGCTATCAATATCGAAAAACACAGACGAAGCCTTCAAATGCTAGAGCAAAACAATTTGTACAAAGAAGACTGAACTAACCGTTTTTGTCTCGATGTCCCTATAAACCGAACAAGCTAGCTCGAATGTTAGAATCCGTATTTATTTTCCAGATCCTGGGAGACAGGACATTTTGGAGCGACTGCGAACATCGTTACAATCTGATAGGTCGGGGGCACAGTGAGATCTACAATATTAGAACTAGCTTATTTTGTGAGTTTAACTTTCCCCCAGGACAAACTTGACTTCCACTGGTTGGGTTTTTATTGGCGATCAAGCTGTAGACTGTAGATCCTGGCTACACAGGAGTTACAGCGGTGGGAATAGTTTCGTGATCTGGCGAACTTCGTACCGCCTTCACCAGAAAATTATTTTCCTACATTAGTAGGATTCTAATGAAAATATTTTTTCAAATCGGTCCATAGTTTCGGAGCGTATTCAATACAAACAAACAATCAAATCTTTCCTCTTTATAATATTAGTGTAGAGACGACTATCGTGCACATCTCCCTTTTAAAAACCGTGACAAAAACTGTCGTACCTACCATCTTCCCTGAGTCTCAAAACTCTACCAAATGTTATTTTTATCGGTTAAAACTACACTCTTGTAAATATTATGACTGTAGAGTTAGTGCCAAGGGTTCAACGTTATCGCGACAAAAAATCTAAAATTGGCAACGGAAAGTCATTAGTGTATAATTTTAAAGATTTTAAGACGTAACCTCCAGGTAAGACTATAAAAATAGCTTAATGAACGAAACTCGTTCTTAAAATTCCCAAAAGTATTGAACGTGGATTTGCAACTTGGCCCGAGCGAATTTCAGTCGCCAATTTAACTCAAGAACGACTGGACAGATCTTGATGAAGATAGCTGATAAAGGCTAATCTTTACCCAACTACTCAAAAAGAAGGTTATGTTTTAGTGAATCTAATAACTTTGGGTAGAAAAGGTACAGAGTTAGCAGAGCCATCTAGTTTTAAAATTTACATGAAAATGTTTTTGGTGGGAAGATATTTTCCGGAATTTTTTTCCAAGTTCGCATCGCATCTACACCCTGTACGCCCCAAGCCTTACAGGCCATAAACAGAGCAGAGGATCAGAGGGTCTGCGACCTCCGAGGTCGATAGAGGTCGCGGAGGTCATGGTCTGTGACCTCCATCGGGTGTTGTGTTCGTTCATTTCAGCCAAATGACGTCCACTGCTGGACAAAGGCCTCCTCCAAGGATTTTCACCGTTGTCCTGCGCCGCCAGCATTCGGGCACCTCCCGAGATCTTCACCAGATCGTCGGTCCACCTAGTCGAGGGCCTGCCCACACTAAGTCTACGTCTACGTCAATGCAATACACAAGCTTAAGTAGCAATGGGCATTATTGGGCATAGATCACATAACACGCAGAACTGACGGTCGATGGGGCAGCAGTCAAGAATTTGTCACAGGATGCGATCTGCGGTCAACGGTCAGATCAAAGTGAACGCAGCCCGCATTATGTATGAACAACATTGTGTCGGTCAGTGGTACGGTTTGCGTTCTTTGCTCGTGCCCGCACGGTCAGATCGCATCAATACAAAATGTATAAGACCGACAATGTTGTTCATACATGATGTGGGCTGAGTTCACTTTGACTTGACCGCATACCGCAGATCGCAGAACGCATTGTGTGGAAATTTATTTAAGACCCAGTCCGTTAACAAACAACGCCCTTATGATTCATGTAAGTAATGAATGAAATTTACCTCAAAATGGGAAACTCACTGCCCTCTTTTATGCAGTCGGGTGATAAGGCGCGACCTTATAGTTCGTTTGCGATTTAACAACCTCAAATTGAGCGTGACCATCTAGTTGCTAGTTCAGTGACCCTGTACTAGTTCATAGTAGCTAAAAACATAACCCTCTTTCAGGCACGGGCGGGTAAAAAACTGCTACGTTTGAAAAACAAAAGTATAAAATTAATTTTCAGTCAAAAATGTTCGGTGACGCTGTTCTAGTTCATAGTAGCTAAAAAACATAACCCTCCTTCTGGCGCATTCGGGTAAAAACGCTGCTTCATTTAAACAAAAGTTACAAAAGAACAGAAGTTTTAAGTTGACTCAACCAGGAATCGAACTCTAGCATAATTTCCAGCTATTTATGTCTTCAAATAAAAAAAATACCATGTGGGGTAGTCGCATTACATTTGCTCGTTGCGAGAATCGAACCCGTGTGCCGCAAAGATTGCAAAGATTGGGAATACCGTTCTGTAACTGTGTACCTACCATACATTATAAGTGTAGAAAATACTGTTCATTACCACAAAATACCTAAGTAAAATACGTCGCAATATACCTACCTAGGTATTGAAAATAATTACAAAACATAACTTATTGATAACCAAATAATTTTCAACATGCACTTTATGGATTGCGATTCCGTGGGTAATAAAACAATTCGCTACATTGGAAAATGCATTGGTAAATATTTTCCAAAACAAAAACAACAGTCAAACAAAATGTCAACAACTCACTCTTTCTGTACGGGAATCTCGGGCCTCGGATGAAAGGTGTAACCAGCGGGATCGTATGCACCGACATAATATCACAAACTTTGGTGAATTTATCGCAAATTTCTTCAAAATTACCTTGGACGTTCGAGTGACTGGACCGCCACGTCGGACTACGCGAGTGAGAGAGAAAAAACTGAAAAGCGCGTTCTTTTTTTGCAATTTTAAAACTTTGTTTTAATAACGAAAAAGTTTTATGTCAAAATAGTGTAAATACTTTATGGTTATACCTACTTGAAATGACATTGCGCCTTTGCGGTACGATCGGCTTTGTTTTGATTTCAAGTAGGCTTCGTTTGAATAATCAAGATACAGGGTGTATTATTTTTGAAGATTTTCTAAGCACAAAACTAATCTTAATATTTTATTTTTAAGTTTAGAAGATACGGAAACTGGATAGGGTAATTCAAAGGAGTCCTAATTACAAAGTTTTATAACGTAATTAATTAACCAGAACTAGGCAGGTAAAATTTGATATTTACTAACTTTCTACAGTCTTCTAACTTTCTATTGAAGTCTCAAGTTTACGAAGTAAAGGAACATGTTAAATTATAATTACGTACACATAATTAATCTCGGTGGGCTGTGCTAGGATATAAAATATTTTTTTAAAATAATTAATTATTGTCTGATTTAGTGTTAATTTAAAAAACCTTTATGTATGTATACTTAAGTAAAATTAAACCTTATCATTGTTTAAATTAAGGGCTTGTCATTTTATTTGTGTAATCTTTAATGCCATATAGTTGGTTTTGTACATTTTCGATCAATTATGACGATTTCATTGTGATTTAAAAAGAAGTAAGTAAATAAATACTTCTTTAATCTGTGCAAAATAACTCGAAATCGACCTACTCGTTGCAAAACTTTTTTATTTTTTAAAGTACTCACGTATCCAGCGTGGGGGTTTAATCTGTGCACGCAGTACCACAATTTATATGCAAAGGAATATTGTAATTAATTAGTAATTATTAATCTGTTAAAAAAAACTCAAAGTCGACCTCCTCTTTCAATGTTTTATTTTTTTTTTAAACTCACGTAGCCCATCCTACATAATCTGTGCTAAAAATTCAAATTCGACCTCCTCCGTTACCAAAATTGTTTTTTTTTAAGTACTCACGCAACCCATCCTGTATAATCTGTGCGCGCATTGCGCCACGCTTGGCGCAGTCGGCGGGGATGCTGCAATATGACATTGGCAGGTGTTTCGCGCCAAAACTGTGGTCAATTCGACGCTTGAACTAAATTGTTTGCCGATAAAAATTCGTGGATTGTAAATAGTAGAGGTCATATTTTTTATCCGACTGCGTCAGAAGGAGGGTTATGTTTTTAATGAAAACAAATATTGAGTAGAGGTTTATTATTAAGGGACTTTTTCCGCCTCTCGTTCCTAACTCCTTTGTAGCTAGGATCTACAATCTAACGCCTGTATTCACAAACATTACTATCACCTGATGTTAAGCGTAAGTATAAAATACGATTAAAATCAAAAATGTAAAAATAATCCCACCAAAAACATTCTGTAAAAAACTAGCCAAGTCTCGATGGAGCTACTTGTTTATCTCTAAAAAGTAATGAAATCTAGACAAAGTCGTGCCAAGTCTATGGTTCCTTACTGCGATTTCTTTATTATTATAGTTAATGTTGTGTGACTTGGCCGTTGAAGGGTACAAAACCAGGNCATTTTTTTACGATATTAAACACAAATTAAGCTTACCTTTAAAATGGACAACGAATAAGAATCGTTTTAATAACTTAACCTTAGCTAACCTCACGATATAATAAACGAAATCGACGAAATTCAAATTACACAATATTCAACTTAATCGACGGGGGGGAGTCTAGAAAGGAAAAAAAATCTGGACACCGCGGTGCAGAAAATCGACACTCAAAGTGCTAGCGCCATCTACCGGTAAGCGGTACAGGCGAACACCACGGTGCCAGTGTGGCGCTAGTAGTATTGATTATGAATGTGGTGTTACTCCAAATCTTCGATTTTCCTAGTTTTTATAGTTTTCCCTTTATGTGGCCATTAAACCCTAACTCTGTACCAAATTTCAGCTCTCTGAGTTTATGGGAAGTACTAGTTCTATTTTGATGATCATCAGTGAGTGAGTGAGTGTCATAAATGCGAAACTTTGCTTTCGCTTAACTTCGGAACTAAATGACCTACAGACCTGAAATTTTGGATTTTAATTATGTGATTATAGCTTACTAGATGACGAAAATTTCTGCGTTCTGGTCTTATCCAGAGGGTCTCAAATAGGGACCTGAAAATGCGGCGAAATGGTTCCAGTAAAGGATGGTACGGCAGTGTTTGCTTCGCGCTCGACTTGGCGGGGGCACTGCCGTGCCCCCAGATATTTCAAAAATATCTGAAATAAGCGACAGTTCTAAAGTAGGTCACATACATTTTAATCAACTCATATAAGTTGCAATGACAGTCTAATAATATTTTAAATATGCATGAAGTTTGCTTAGGGCTGGCACGTATGGAGGATTAAAATTATTCTATGTGTTTTAGGCCCGATTCGACCAAACTTTTATCTGAGAATAACTCCTGGTATAACTGGCATATTGACCAGTTTTAGTATGGGAAATATGTCAAAATTGACTATTTATTCTGAGATTAATTACTCTTGTTTGGTCGAATCCACTTAAGTAATGTCGTAAGCGACTAAGGGAGAAATATGCGAACATCAGGCCTCCCCAACCCGTCTGGCCTGCGTGGGGAGTGTAGGACAAATCCTCCATTTGCCTCTGGTGAATTAGAGAGGGTCGTGTTCCTGCAGTAGAGACTAAATGACCTGATGATGATGATAATGGTGATTATAATGTTTCTTCCTTTTTTTTATTGTTGTTAGAATATAATAAAATAAAATAAGTAATTGTTTATCTGCATAAATCAATAAACACTTTGACCTTCACTGGTTGGGTTTTTATTGGCGGTCAAGCTGTAGATCCTGGTTACACAGGAGTTGCAGTGGTGGGAACGAGATGTGGGGATAGTCCTGGGCCTCGATTACGCTAATTTTTAACGTCTCCAATAGAGACGCGCTTATTCGATTCCGCGATACGATTGGTCAAAACAGCAGACGTCAGCTGTAATCGGGGCCCTGTTGCATAAATCATGGTAATAAGTAGATACACAATTGTTATAAGTTAGAATAAGTACACAATATGTTTTGCTACATCAAGAAGCATGCAAGTTAACTTAGCTTGGTTGTTTACTATGCTTACGTAAGTAGAAATACTATCTTCTTTCTTATTTATTACTAAGCAATTCCTTTGCCACAAAACCACTTTGAAAACTTTTTAATTTGTTTTCTTTCATGTAATATAGGTCAAGGCATAGCTGCAGAGACCTAGTTTTATACCGCATTGGCGAAAACTGAGCCAAACCCCTGTTGAAAATTTCCCATTTTTCTTTTTTGGCAACCAAATAAAGAAGTTTGAAATGTTGTGGTAGACCGATAGTGCTGTGGATTTTGCAGATCTACTAGTCCGTACTATCATACTAATATTAAACATGCGATTGTTTCTGCCTGTCTGTTAATTTGTCTTTTCACGCCTAAACCACTGAATCGATTTTGATGAAATTTGGTGTAGAGATATTTTGATACCCAGGAAAAACATAGGATTGGTATTATCCTGGTTTTTGAAACGGAGCCATAAACTTATTCTGCGAAAATCTAAAGTTTCTCGGGCGAAGTCGCAGGGAAAAGCCAGCTAGAGCTAAAACACTTTGGCATCATGTTGTTGTGAAAATGTATGATTTTCTGAGAAATTACATTATCTGTCTGTCAATTATAATTAGTATTGAGCGTGTGACAACCCTAAAATGCTCCCTATGAATATGGCACCGGGTGTAATCTGCTCAACTATTAAACCACACATTAATGTTAATGTGAAAGATAATTAGCTTTATACCCGGAGAGAAAAGACATTATCTTCCCTCAATAAGGCTTTATCATTTCAACCACCTCTACGGTTTAGTGGTAAGAAGGTCCCAGGTTCGATTTCCAGTAGAAGCAAAATTTGTTGGTTAGTGGAATGATCTAAGACTCTAGCTTTGTTGCTTGTGTTTTATTTATTTATTTTCACCAACTTAAACTATCTTACTGTTACTTGAATCGGTCGACATAACAACAATGTTAACAGCATTGTTGTGTTTCGGCAGTTAGAGGTGAGATAAGACCGCCTGCAGAGGTTCCGGGTTCGATTCCCAGTGGAAGCACAATTTATTGGTCAATAGAATGTTCTAAGTCCACCTGGTTATGCCCAACCATCGTCTTATCCAACTCCCGTAATTCACAATCGATGCTTGTTTAAGTGAAGTAGCAAACCGAACGTGCAGCGTTGAATAGAGCTCTGTGATTGGTTCGTGTGCCACCCTGTGCATCCACGTGCACTGAGAGACCTCCGTCTTACCTAAGTCTGTCTACAAAACAATGTTAACAGCATTGTTGTGTTTCTGCAGTTGGAGGTAAGATAGCCAGTTCCTCTGTGGTTGAGGGTTTGGGTGAAGCTCGCTTCCTCCTTTGGCCTGATCATTATTTTCCATCAAATTATGTGCAACAAAAGGTTTTTAATATTAAAATATCTTACTCCAATGTCTAATGTAGAGATATTATAAAAATTCATGAAATTTTATTTCAGCGATTGAGGCATCTCCTATAAGTAAGTATTTATTCCACTCGTATGTAAAAAGTTTAAGAAAGAAAGAAAGAAAGAAAGTAAACAATACAAAATTGGTCCCTATTTTATAAAAAGATCTATAGGCTGTAGTGAGCCTATCCCATTTTTTTCTAATAACTTTATAGTCATTCAAGTCATCCACTTTCCACAATGACATAAGAATACCATGACGCAACCATCACGCCACAGACTATAAATATCCACCCTTGAGTACTTCCACGAGGCTTTCTAGGTCACCATGCTGTAAAAATCAATACGTCAATGAGTAGTACGGCCTAGTTAGCAGTTTTTTATCTGTAACACGGTGTGCGATGAGGTCTGTGGTTGTGTTGACAGTGACGTTTTGTTTTGGCGCGAAAGATTGTTGTTAAATAAATTTGGTATTTGCA